TTATTATTATTGTATGTGCATGTGTGAGGTGTGTGTATGTATGAGATGCATATGTATGATATGTGTAAGGAGATTACATGCTACAACACATGTATAGAGGTCAAAGGACAAGTTGGTAGCGTTGGCTCTCTCCTTCCATCTGTGTGTGGGTTTGGGTAGGCTTGCATCTTCAGGTTGAAAGTGCCCTTTGCTGAGCCGTCATCCCACCAGGTGTTTGTTTTGCGGCAGTGTATAACCCAGAGCTGACCAAGTGGGGTAGGCTGGGCAGCTAGTAAGCCCCAGGAATCTACCTGTCTCTCCCTCCCCATGTTGTGGTTACAAACGCACAGCATCATTTACTCGGACTTTGGGGCTCAAAATCAGACCTTATGTCTGCAAGTGCCTCATATACTACCTAACAGTCTAATGTCTCAAATGCCACTCTTGCTAATTGGGAGCTATTGTGTGAAGAACACACAGTCTTCAAGCCACTGAGAACTCTCCAGTCTCCACGTCAGAGAAGATGGAAACTGTTGAAATGATTCAGACAGACAGAAACGTTTGGAGGAACAAATTCATGTTAGAGGGCTCATGGTAGTTTTTAGTCTTCTGCAAGTTTGTTTGTTTGTTTTGTTTTTGTTTCTGCTTTTTTTCCCTCAAGTCAAGGTCTCTGTATTTAGTCCTGGCTGTCCTGGAACTCACTATGTAGACCAGGGCTCAGCTTCACAGAAATCCTGCTGCTGTCTCCCAAGTGTTGGGATCAAAGGCATATACTACTACACCTGGCTAAATTGGACTTTTTTTTTCTTTTTAAATAGCCAATATTTAAGTGAAGAGCTATAGCAAAAATGAAAGGTGCCAATCCACGGCTTCTTTATTCGTCTCAAGTATCATCTGTCAGTTTCAGTTCCCAGATTTGTGCTTCCCAGATTTGAACTTGGTGTGGATGGCCTGGGTCTGGTGAGACTACAGCTGAAACTCTATCTTAGCCAGCAGGTCCCCAGGAAAGCACAGATTGCTCAGGGTGGCAGAGTCAAACTCTGGACCAAGTGATAGTCAAGAAAGATTCACACAGGATGCATTGCTGTGCAGAGCTGTAAGTACTCAGTGGTTGTGGAAAAACAAAAACCACACAAAACCTCTCAGGTATTCTGTCTTTGAAGGAGTGTTTCTAAGCTTGCTCCTGACTTCCTTTTGGGAATACAGGATCTAAGAGCAGGTAAACTCACCAGGTCCTGACACATTCCCACCATGCACCCATGCAAGTGCGTGCACACACACACGTACAAACACACACACATATAAGGATGCATGCAAGCATACACCTCCTGTGAGGTGAGTCAAGCCTCTTTTTCCAGGGTTATGTAGGAAGGCCATGGTTTGAGCTGGCCACCTATCCTGCTTGAATGATCAATAGAGAATTTTCTAGAAGACTTTTCCTAAATCTTGATTGCTGAGAATCTGTGAAGTGGTAGGTAAAGATAGCTTGGTGTTCCCCGTATGCATTTATCTGATAAGGTACAAGAAACTGCCTTTCTCTCACTACATTTCCACCAAGTGAGCCACGGCATGTCCAAATTGGGCTCCAGGCAGCAGTTGTGCATGCTTAGAACACAAAAGTTTTTCTGTTTCCCTAAGGATCCCATGATGTTTAAGTAGAAACAACAGAAGGGCAGACCCACCCCATCAGCATCTAGTTCATCTAGCCAGGCTTTCCCCTGTAGACTGAGGAGTCTCCTGAATTCACCAACCCTTCAGAGTGTGGGCAGGCTGTACTGTACTGACATGGAGCAAACAAACACAACAGGCTTTCTACCCTCATAGAGATGAAAGAAGCCACCAGGGCAACTGGAGTCTGGTTGGGGGTGCACGTACAAGGCAAGGTGACTCTAAGCCACAGGAATGTGGACATAGACAGAGATAGCCCTTGTTCACCAGATATGGGGTATCCTAGAATAGGTTAAGGTCATATGAGGGGCTAGAGGATGGTGAGCTCTTTGAGACAGGAAAGACTTGCAGGTGTCTCTGCATATTTCTCAGGAACAATTCTTCGGCAAAGATGGTCCTGGACCATATGAATTAAATCTTCCTGGACAAATAATTATCCTCAGAGCAGAGAGGGGTTAAGTAGCCTATTTTAGAAACGAGTTCTATGAGGTCAGGCCTGGTGTAGCCCCAGCTTTCAAGAGGCTGAGGCAGGAGGATCTCTGTAAGTTTGAGGCCAGCTTGGACTACACAGTCCTGTCTTGAAAAGGCAAAACCAGCCTAGGCAGTGGTGACCCATGCCTTTACTCCCAGCACTCAGGAGACAGATGCAGGCACATCTCTGAGTTCAAGGCCAGCCTGGTCTACAAATTGAGTTCTAGGATAACCAGGGCTACACAGAGAGATCTTCTGTCTCGAAAAACTAAAACCAAATCAAACCAAACCCAAACAAAACACATGCATGCACGCATGTGTGCGCGTGCACACGTGCACACACACTGGGGAGATGGGTCAGCAGGTGTCTGCTGCCAAGCCTGACAACTCAAGTTCAAGTCCTGAGACCCAGTGGTGGAAGGAAAGCAGCAATTCTCAGGAGTTGTCTTCTGACCCCCACGTCTGCCCTGCTCACTGGAGCGCACATACCACACATGTATGCAGACAAAGTTCTTAAAACAGGAAAGAGTTCTTTGCATTTATCTTAAGGGGCTTTTTTTTTTAGATTTATTTATTTTATTTTTATCTGTTAGATGTTGCCTGTCTGCTGGTGTCTGGAGAGGCCAGAACAGGATATGGGATCTCAGAGAACTGGAGTGCCAGATGGTTGTGAACTACTACGTAGGTGCTGGGAACTGAACCCTGGTTGTCTGCAAGAGCAACAAGTGATCTTAACTGCTGGGCCACCTCCTAGGCACATGTCCTCGGCCTTTCGACCAAAACCAAGGACATGGATTAGTTATTTACTCTTATAACTACCCTACCTTCCAAGCCCTTGCTCTGTACCAGTTGCCGCTCACTGCCTTATAAATGTTATCTCACTAAGTTACCAGAACAATCTTCTGGAGTCGAGATTTTAAGTTCTATCTTACAGATGAAGACCCTGAAGCTTCCAGAGTTGTGACTTACCTGAAATCCCAGCACTTGGGGTCAACTTCAGCTATATAGAGAGTCTGAGGCCAACCTGGAGTACATGAAACAGGAAAGGGGGAGGGGGAGAGGGAGAGAGAAAGAGACAGACAGAGAGACAGAGAGATCGTATTTGCTTTGGGTCACAGAGCGAGGTAGATAATTGTCTAGGATCTGAACCTTTTTTTGTTTTGGTTGGTTTGGTTTGGCTTGGTCGAGACAGGGGTCTTGCCAGTCTACCTTCAAACTCTCAATCCTTTTGCCAAAGCTTCCTTGGTGCTGGGATTTCAGGTATGTACTACAATATCCAACTCTGAACCTGGGTGTTCTAAATCCACAGCTCTTGGGAATGAGGCCCATTGTTGATTAGGAAGATTTGTTGAAGTTCTCAAGAGTTACTATTTAGACAAAATCATGCTCTAGCTAGAATGAGGCCCATGTCTCCAGTGCAGTTATGCAGACTCGTGTGGAGAGCTGCAGTCTTTGCATCTGCTCGGCCCCACCACCATCCAGTGAGGAGAAATGATATACTTCCTACTCCTTCTCATCCAATAAATAGTTGAAATAAGTTATTAGCTGAGGTTAAAGTAAGTATAGTCATTTTATGCACGCTGTTAAATTGCCTAGTTGGCACACAGTGGGGAAATGTCTGTTTCCTGAACTTTGTGCTACTTGTAGGTCATTATACCATTAGCTTATTATTTAAATTATCCAATTAGATTGGTCATTACTCAGCCTCATCCTAAATAATATCCATGAAGTAGCCACTGCTGTGAACTATTAAGATGAGAACATCCTTTAGCACACCAACACTGTGCTACTATAATAGTGTGAAAGCATCCTTTAGCACGCCATCGTTGTGTTTGTATTACCTGTGAGAGCATCCTTGGCACTCCAGCACCGTATTGGTATTAGCCTTGGAGAAATGGTGCAAGATATAAAGGCTGCATGTCTATATTGCAGCACAGTTGAGGGCAAATTAAGATCACATTCATACTACCTCCTCCTTCTCAGAAGTAGGCTGGGGTGTGCTGGAGATGCCAAGAACCTCACCAATGACTGGGTTGACCCCACAGAGGTGCCTCTTCTGAGGGAGACTATGCCTGTGTCTCTCAGGACCTGCTTAAATTAGTCCAATGACACATCAGGACAAAAAGTTATCATCATCATTATTACTAGCAATAATAATAATTCCAGAAATAATAATAAATAATAATTCCAGAAACAGGCAAGAAAGGCTCTGTGCTTTAGCTGTGTGCTCTCTCCTAGGGAACTTACTAGATCCTGGGGGTGGGCATGGAAATAATGGAGATTAGTCTTGCCAGGGGTGGAATACAGACAAAAAAGGGATCCCTAACTAGGATGAAGGGAACCTCTGGCTAGATTTCACCTGTTCACATTTCCAGTCCTTCCTAAGTCCCATCCCAACTAAGGCAAAAGCTAAAGGGAAACTTGAGTCCTATTATGTAAAATTGTGTGCACACTTAACCTGCCCAGCTGTCTTTCATACAAACAGAGAATAATTTCTAATTTCCTGCCTTCACTGTTATTCCAAAATGTGCAAAGACCCTCCCTGTCTTTCTCTTAACTGTGACAAAAATAACCAAAGGAAGCAACGTCAAGGAGGAAAGATGGATTTCCGTTCACAGTGACAGTCCTAGGGACAGTGGTAGCATCTTCAGAGGCAGCTATGGAGCTGACTCTTGTGGCAGCTCTCAGGCCAGAACCTGAAGTTAATGTCACATTCAAGGCCCACTCCCAGCATCCCTTTCAGCAAGTTAAGCTAAAGCCCTAGAAGTTGTATAACCTTCTCCAGAGAGACCACCAGCTGGGGATCAAATGTCAAACACATGAGTCTGTGGCCACGTTCCTCATCAAAATGGTAACAATGATTACAAGCCACCATCCACAACTCTCAAATAAAGCTGCATTTACATGTTAAGCTTTTGGGTCTTGGGTCTTAAATGACTTTATATGGCAAGCTGAATAAAGGCCAACATAACGTGCAGTATGGGGAATGGGCCCCTTAAAACCTGGAGAAATCAGAGAGGGAAGGAAGGATTTTCTGAGGACCAGCTAGCTGTTAGTCAGATCTCTCTGCCCAGGCGTACTGATAGCTGAAGATGCCATTCGTTTGCTCCATAGCTATGTATCTCCTGGTCAATCCCAGGGTTGGCCGTTGCCCATCCGTAGGACTTGGGTTACTCTTTCAGTGCTAAGGTAGGAAATAAATCTACAAAGAAGAGACAATTAAGAAGAGAGGTGGGTTAGGACGGAGGGAAATTTGCTTTTGGACCTGGCTGGCACTTAGCTTTCTGATTGTACTATTCCTTGTGATTCAGCAGTAGCTGACCAGTGTCCATCCCCCAACCCCGACTCCATCCCCACCCCCCTCTCTACCCTTTCCCCAACAAAATTCTCGGTTCCCTTTAGGTGCAGTTCCTAGTCCCCCTCTACTCTTTCCACTCCAAAATATCCTGGTCTGGCCAAGGACTCCCCAGCCCTGTTTTTCAAAAGGCTCCTCACCAGCTCTGAACGCCGCCGGCTCCCCCTCCTCCCTGCCAGCCCGGCTGGAGTCCGCAGGCACGCCAGGCACACGTGGAATGCTGCCAGTCGCAGGAGATCCCAAGGGAGATAAAAAGCACATCTTTGACCACTTCTTTACCAAACAGACCCAAGATGTGTAATTAAAGGCCCCGGGACTCTGCTGGAAATAGGTTTAAACTTGAGGTAATCCCTTCTGGCACTTCCTCTTCCTAATGACATCAACAGAAATCAAACAAATCCACCTGGCTCCAGTCAGTAAGTCTGTAACCAGCAAAGGTCACGGGAGGAGCGATAAGAACAAGAAAGCGGCCACAAACCGCGTTACTGGAAACACATGTTGGGACGTGTTGGAAAGCAACTCCCGCCAGGCCCCTGCTCGCTCTGGGACAGCGACAAGGCGAGCAGCCTTCCCCGCCTCTGCCTCCGCCTCCCCAGTCAGCACTGTATTTTTCTTTACCTCCTAGACTAGACTTGGGCATGGGGGCAAGGCGGAGACCATGGCTTGTTCGAGGGGTAGGGGGTGGGGTGGGAGTGGAGTGGGTGTGAGAAAGGCACTGTAGAACTGGGAGGACAGGTGGACCCCTCATTCAGCAGCGAGGACCCCTGCTGACTGCCTCCGGGAACCTGCCTCCAGTCTCCTAGTACCTGCATGTGCAGATTGCCAGAAGCACAAGCACGCTCGCTTGGGAAAGTGTTTCTTCAAACTTTTAGACCGCCCTGCGCTGTTTTATTACCAGGTCGGTCGGGCAGTTGCAACATACCTCGCCAGCGTGGCTTAAGCAACACAAGCAATTTTCTCACAGCTCAGGAGGCTGGGAAGTTCAAGGTGCTCAGCTGGTTCCTGGCGACGACTTCCTTTCTTGCTTGCTAGTCAACTGGCAAGCAAGTCCTTGCCAAGCGATCTGACTCTTTCTAAAAGTGTCACTTGGGGTGTACATCACTAATCCCATGACCTCCTCAAGGGCGCTGTCTCCAAATGCAGTCACACCAGATGGCTCCAGCTTTTCACTTCAGAATTTTGGGAAAACACAATTCAGCCCACGGCACTCAGGTGTGATTGGGGTATTCGAAGGACATCGAGGGAAACAAGACCACACATGATGGATCCTCAAGTCCCACTCAGAGAATGCGTGGTGGGCAGGCCTGGGGTGGTGGGGCAGAGGGGCTAGGGATCTCTCTGTATACCACAAACTCAGTGTGTCCTGACACAAACCAGGAACTCCTAAACTAAGCTGCGGTTGTGGTCCTCAGTGAGAGAGAGACCCCTGTTCTTGCATTGAGTGTAGCAGCAGTTGAGAAGCCAGGGTGACTGCAGCCCGCAGCTAGAAGGTCACCTCTAGTGAGTGTCTCTCTGTCTTCCTGTTTTCACAAGGGAAAGTGAGCACTTTTAAGCCAGATACGTGGTTTTCTTTTCTGGCTGCCAACAAGCCTTACAGGATTCAAAGTTTATGGTCAATGGTGAGCGGTGCTTCGAAACCAACCAGCTAGTCTTGAATCTCGTGGCCAGGCTGGGGGTGATAGATCTTTCAAAGATTTTAGCCCCAAGGACCTTTCAAGACAAGAAGCATAAAAACTTCGTTTTCAAGGACTGAAGTTCTGTCTTCACTGAGCCTTGTCCAAAAGCCACTATCCATCAGCTGAACCACCTTTGTGTCCAAAGCTTACCCTCTCGGGGCTGTTCCTCTAATCTTAAGAATGGATACCAGTGTGATTTCCAAGGATCTGAAAGGCTTTACTTTAGAAAGAGCTCAGACTATAGAATGCCTGTCTCCTATGGTCAGAGGGGTCAGAGTACTTATATCCATTCAGACTTTTTAGAATCCACCTTCTCCTTTCTACAAGATGCTATAGAGTTCTAGGAAAGTGAGGCCAGAGAAGTGGCTTAGTGTTAAGATCACTTAATACTCTTCCAGAGGACCTGAGTTCGGTTCTCAGAGCTCACGCCAGGGTTCATAACTGCCTGAACCTCCAGCTCCAGGGCACCCAAATCCATTGCCCTCTTCTGGCCCTCACAGGCACCCACACAATGTGACATATACTCGCAGACACATGTATGTACACATAAAATAAACAGAAATCTAGGAGCAGGATTAGTCCTTGAGATTTAATACACAAAGGGTGTATACACATGTATATATGTGTGTGTGTGTGTGTGTGTGTGTGTGTGTGTGTGTGTGTGTAAGAGAGAAATAAATGTTGGGCATCTCTCCCCAGTTGTTCTCCACCTGGTTTAATTTTAATTTTTTGTGTATGTAGTGTTTGCTCACTTGTGTATAGACAGACCCAGGAGCACAGGCCAGAGGAAGGCATTGGGTGTTTCTCTTAGTTTTATTCCTTTGAAACAAAGTATCTCCCTGAACCTGAAGCTTGTATTTTTTTTTCATGCTAAACTGACAGCTAGCAAGTCACAGCAGTCTTCCTATCTCTGCTCCCCACAGACCTGCAGCTACAGGACCCCTGGAGACCACTTCCAGCTTGCTAGCTGGGTGCTGACATTTGAACTCAGGCCCCTATGATTCTGTGGCAAGTGCTCTCAGCCATCTCTCCAGTCCTCTGAAAGAAAAAAAATTTCCCTTTCTATCTCTTAATTAATGTATTAAATATTGTGTGGTGGGTGGGCAGGCATGAGTGTAGAATTCAGAAGGCAGTTTTTGGAAGCCAGTTCTTTTCTACCAGCTTTATGTGGGTTCTGGGGATCCTGATTCTCCCACTTCTGCCTGCTGCTAGGATGAGTTGACCGGTGACACCATGCCCAGCCACTATTCTGTATTCTGTCTCTAGTATTTTGCCTGGGGTACCTTGGGCACTGCATTTGTACATTTTATACGTTCCATTTGTACAAACAGCACTGGAATCGGTAACATTTGATCATGTTTGCCGGCCTTTTTTTAAAAAGCCAAACTCTTTAAGTATGTTACAAGCTATGTGCAGTTTCCCTGAACATTTCCATGTGCATGTCTAAGTAAGAGTGTTCTCCTCAGGGGGTTCAGTGCTGTGTCACAACATTTAAATGCCATAAATACCATTAGACACCAGATCCACATCTGCATTTCTTCAGTTGTCCCCAGAATATCTCCTACAGCAGACTTGTTCAAATCAGGACCAGATATCAACTCTGGAAGTTATGGCTTTTAAGATACTTTTATTCTAGAACATTCCTGGCTCCTGGCTCTCCTTTTCCTTCTATGGCCCCTGTGAGGTGGGTCTGACTGTCTCCTGGTAGTGATGTTTGACCCTTTCCTATCCATCACCTGCCTTCAGGGAGGCTAGAAGTTAGGGTTGCCGGCTTAATTCTGTTCAGGCATGGTCACACACCCCACTTCCTGGAGCCTCCCATTAAGAGGCATATCTTGTTCGTCCCTGCGGTTCAGACTGTGTCTAGAGTAAGAAGGTCCAGTCAGTGTCAAATTACTTGCACCATGGTTCTACTTGCAGTCACCACACAACACAGTGCAGGGGACAGTGCTTTGGTACCTCATGAATATCCAGTTCACCAAAGACAAGATTTAACCAATATTAACTATCCCTGAAGGAATCCTCTATTTCATTGGGGCCTCACAAAGGTAACCTCCTAAGTTTTGGCCCTGTAATCTTGAATCTGTAAAGACCAGCCCTCTCTTATTACCCTGAAATTTAGTTCTTCCTGGCAAGTTGGGATAAAGGCTGAATTCCTAATTTTTTGAGGAAGGAGCCGCGGAAACCCCATCTTTAGGAAGCTGTAGGATGAAGATGACTGGGAGCTCAAGGCTCTCTGGAGGAAACTTCATTTCCTCCACTCTTCCCTGAGATCACCCCACTTTCTTGGAAAGCAGCCAGAGGGCCACACGTGTGTTCTCTCCAGTCCACAAGTGCCGGCATTTGTGGCAGGCAGTGCAGAGCTTCCAGAGCTTTCCACCAAAGCAGAAAGGAAGGATGTCAGACTCGGTTCCTTCCTCCTCAGAGACTTGGGGTCTTCAGTCTTTTGGAATGGGTGGGGAGGATCTTTGGAGTGGAACTCTCATGGCAGGCCCAGGGCTCTTCACTCTTGCTCTGCTTTGAAGGGACAAGTTCTCGTCACCTACTTTTCAAATGGCCATGTGTTTTCCAGTTTTTACTTACTTTGCCCCGACTAACAACAGGCCAAAGGGTTATCTGTCCAACATTCACCTAATGGTAATAAGACATCATTTGTGGTTCACAGTTTATTACCCGGCTTACCCTCGGGGCCAGGGGTGGGGAGCAACCTTAAGGAGCCCACTGCTCAGTTTGAATGACTGATACTTGCATGTAGAAAATGGAGTGGGAAATGTCAGCCTGAATGGATGTGTGGAAGCGAACCCTAACCCCCTGGCCTGATCTATTTGTCTCCTCTGATATATTGACCCATTATCCTAAAAAGCCTCTGAGAGACAGATAGCATCGTCCTGTCTTTATATTTCTGATAAGAAAACTACACAGCCTATCCAGGGCTACTCGGCTCTCCCTTTCAGGCCCTGTCCGAGCCGCGCCTGCATTCCATCTACAGCACCATATTGTTCTCTTACCAAGTGTTCTGTGAAACAGGACTGTAGAGAAGTGAGGCTGTCATGGTTACTATGTAACATTGTTGCTTTGGGATTTCCCCCATTTTACATGTAACTATTGAAACAATATTATGTTAACTATGTATTAAATATATTGCATAGTAAAGAAAATCTTCATAGAGAAAAATATGCCTTATAACCACAGCACCTTAATTTAATAAGTGCTTTTATTTTTAACTATCTCCCTTAGATCTTTGCCCCTAGGCACTGGTATTCCTGCAGAGTACTGATCAGCACAGATGCTATTTCATGCTTTCTTGTTTGATTTTACATGCATTATAAATATTTTTATGAATCCCTTACATTTTCTGTGTTACAAACTGGATCCTACTGCACTGAGTGAGTACAGCGTTATTTACTTAGCCAGTCTAACTCTCATCTGGACAGGTTTACATTTCTGCTATAAAAAGAAAAAACAAAATGGGCCTGTGGAGATGGCTCAGCAGTTAAAAGCACTGACTGCTCTTCCAGAAGTCCTGAGTTCAAATCGTAGCACCCACATGGTGATTCACAGGGTCTGTAACTGTATTCCACAGGATCCTGTGTCTTCTTCTGGTGTGCAAATGCACATGCAGACAAAACTCCCATCAAATACACAAATAAATAAATCTATTTTTAAAGTGAGATTCTCTGTGAATTTTTCTTGTGACCATCTTGTAAATTCCTAAGGAAAACTCATAAGGGTTGGCTACCTGACGCAAAAAGCTGGACAGTCT